TTTTTTTTTTTTTTAATATTTATATATTTAGGGCTGGGGATGTGGCTCAAGCGGTAGCGTGTTCGCCTGGCATGCGCAAGGTGCTGGGTTCAATCCTCAGCACCACATAAAAATAAAGATGTTGTGTCCACTGAAAACTAAAAAATAAATATTAAAAAATTCTCTCTCTCAAAAAAAATTATACACACACACACACACACTCACATACACATATTTAGTTGTAGTTGGACACAATACCTTTATTTTACTTATTTATTTTTATGTGGTGCTGAGGATCAAACCCAGGGCCTTGCACGTGCTAGACAAGAGCTCTACACTGAGCCGCAACCCCAGCCTCCATCCAGGCGTCAGTTTTGATGAAGACAAGCACTAGAATTACAGGAGCTGCATTCATGGAGCCTTGTCTGTGATTCATGAGAAGACTATTTTAGAAGGGGAATATAGAAAGACAGTAAAACAAACCACACAACTTTGTTTTGCTTTTACTTTTCAGTCTTTGAGGTTTTTTAAAAAATTATAATTGCTCCTGCTGGATCTTTTCTCTAGAGCAGTTTGTCTATGCCTGGTAGAGTATAAGGACTTTGAAAGATTATTTTTAGAAGATTTACAGGTAATTGAAAACTTTTGAAGCTAATACAATTTTTGAGTAAACCCTCAACATATAATAAGCTCCTTTTCAAGGAGTTCCCCATCTCTGTGATCCAAGTAGGAAACCCTTCAAAAGGATTATGATAGATTGGGGAAATGAGTAGCAGATATTAGAACATAATATCAGAAGTTGACCTACTGTGAACTTTTTATTAATCTCTCCATTTTCTCATGAAAGCTAAGCAGATGATGAAGAAATCAGATTATAAGGATTTAGAGATTATTGTCACGAATGGCTATGATAAAGACAGCTTTGTTCAGGAGATACAGAATGACATTCATGCCAACTCTTCTCCAAATGACCAAAGTGCTGATGACGTAAAACCTGTAGATAAAAACTTGGAGCAAACTGAAAAAGTTGCTGCCTGCATTCACCAAGGTATTGTTCCCAAATACTTTTTTGTCTAACATTTATCCTATAATTAAAATTTTCTTTTAATAATTTTAATATATTTAGAAATAGTTTCAAATTTTAAAATATTTCTTAATATCTTTTAGGGTTGATTAATGTTACAAGGTTTTATAGCTTTGAAAGACAGAGAAGTAGAGCCAGAAATTTTATATTTGTATTGAAACTTTTTTTAATGCTAACCATATGATATTTYAGAATATATTTTAAACTAAAACTTCCAAATTTTTATTTTTTTTCCCRATTATTTCTCTTAACCTCTGATTATATGGTGCCTTTGTTCTGAAGTCAATAAGTTTAATTTATAGTTTTTTCATGTTCTAGGACTCTCAGGGTGAGCCTGTATTTGCATAGGGTGAATTATTAACAGTGGTGCAGTTTAGTCCAGAAACCAAGAAATGTCTTTTCTTGGCGTAACAACCAAACTTGCATAGTTGCATCTCTAATTTAGGCCTTATAGGCTGACTTCATAGATTTTCTTTTCTTTTCTTTTTGGTACTAGGGCTTGAACTCAGAAGTATTTTACCATGAATAATATCCCCAGTCCTTTTTAAATTTTTTTTTTTTTTTTTTCATTTTGAGATTAGGGTCTGCTCAGTTGCTTAGGATCTCACTAAGTTTCTGAGGCTGGCCTCAAACTTGTGATCATCCTGCCTCAGCCTCCCAGTTCACTGGAATTATAGGCATGTGCCACTGAGCTTGGTGGTTATTAGGTTTTCTAAGGTTTCAACAGGACAGTGTTTTCATAGAATTCAGTTGTAAAATACTTTGTAATCTTTTCAAATAAGAACTATTAACTAACCCCAGTGCTGTGGCCCACACCTGTAATCCCATTTGCTCAGGAGGTTGAAGCAGGATTTCAAGTTTAAAGCCAGCCTCAGCAACTTAGTGAGGCCTTACGCAATTTAATGAGACCCTGTTTGAAAATATAAAATAAAATGAGGTGGGGGTGTGACTTAGTCATTGAGCTCCCCAGGGTTCAATCCCTGGAACTAAAAAACAACAACAACAATAACAACAACAAAAAACAAACAAACAAAAAAGGAACTATTAACTAAATTTAAATTTAAAAAAGGGTATGACTTGTTAAATCATGTGTGTCACTCAGTATGCACATAATATAGAGCTGGTGAAGTTTGAAAATGGAATGTGTTTTTCTTCTGTTAGAATATAATTATACTACTTTTGTATTTGTTCATATTTAGATATAAATGATGATCATGTTGAAGATGTTTCAGGAATTCAGCATTTGACAAGTGATTCAGACAGTGAAGTTTACTGTGATTCTATGGAGCAATTTGGACAAGAAGAGGTAAAAATGACATTTTCTGATTGGTAAGTTTTCAAAGTGGTATATCAGAATTCAATGCATAACTTCTGTCAATAGCAGATGTACATGCTGTTCATCACTTTGAAAACATACCTCTAGAATGTTTAAGCATTTACATTTTTACTTTTTCTAAACTTTTATGTATAAGATTGTAGAATATTCAAAGAAAATCCATTTTTTCTGTTTAAATATTTTATTATTATTTATAACATATGTATGTTTTATAAGTATTATGGCAGAGGTGGGATGGAGATCCAGAGGGTAAACTGTTTGTTTAATCATGTTTTAAAYATTGATTAATAAAGAAAATTTAATAGTTTTCAATCAAATAAGCCTATTCTTTACATTAACTCTAATTCTGCTCTAAAAATTTTAGTGAAAATCATCTTTAAATTTTAGTTAAGATTCTGTATTAAAAGAGAAAATCTTGGGGAAAAAAAAMCCCCACAAAGTCCATGTTTTGTTTTGTTCTTTTTGAAAACTATTTCTGATGATGTTGAGGATGCTTGCGACAACTGGAATTCCGTTTGGCAGTTTTACATCCGCTCCCCATTTCTCTTATACCCCTGTTGTGATAGTGTAGTATAGAAAACATTGAGCTTTTATCTCTAATATAACAATTTTTATGTCCCTCCCTTTTTTTCATTTCATTAGACAATTGAATCTACTCTTAGTTTTCTCAAATTTTTAAACACATGAATAAAGAATTTACTAACTATGGTTAAACATAAATGAGTAGTACAGACTGGAAAAATAATCAGAAGCCCAAACTGAGAATAAGCTTAATTATGAAATTTGAAAGTAAGTGTTAAGAACCTAGATTCCTTTTTATTTTCTCTTAAAATTTATATTGTTTGGAGAATGTTGGTGAAAAGGGTCTGGATAGGGTGGAATCTCAGTAAATATCTGAMTACTAAATTCTAGGTTTGCTCCTGTTTTCTCTATAAATCCATAGAAGACTGAGTTATTTCTTGGGGCTCTCTGATCTCTCTTGCTCTTACCTCACTGGCCTTTGTTAATACCACTGTTATGTCAGAATTTTACTCCCCATCCATCCTGGCCTTCTTTAATATACTTTTTTCTTCTAATATACGTTAAGTCTCTTCCCCTTTTCATGTCCAGCACTAGCAACTGTGCATTCATTTGGCCTGGAAAGTTCCTTCTTTCCATGTAGTAGATTAACTCCTGTATATTCTTTTCACCCTACATAGGTGTTCCTTCCTAAAGGAACCCTCTTAGATAGGTACAGCTCCATCTCATTACCACCCTTACCAAGTCTGTTTTAATTATAGATTGTCATCCACAAATGTCTTAGGTGGAATCTTTTAAAATAATATTTATRTAATCTTTATTATCAGTTTTGAAATCCTTAAAATCCAGGTCTWTTCGAGTATTTTTTTAATACCTTTATTTTATTTACTTATTTAAAATTTTTTTTTAGTTGTAGATGGATAYAATATCTTTTTAAAAAAATTTTTTTAGTTGTAGTTGGACACAATATCTTTATTTTATTTATTTATTTTTATGTGGTGTTGAGGATCGAACCTGGGACCTCGCAGTGCTAGGTGAGTGCTTTACTGCTGAGCCACAATCCCAGACCGGTCACAATATTTTTATTTTTATTTTTTATTTATTTTTTTAATGTGGTGCTGGGGATTGAACACAAGGTCTCACGTGTGACAGGCAAGAGCTCTACCACTGACCAACAACCCCAGCTCCTTTTCAAGTTTTTTTTTTTTTGTGTGTGTGTGTGTGTATGTGTGTGGTGCTGGGAATTGAACACAGGGACTTGTGTGTTTGAAGCAAGCACTCTACCAACTGAGCTGTATCCCCAGCCCTTTTCAAGTTATTTTTGTGGACCATTAATATCATGTTTTTCTTTTTTTTTGTTTGACTATTACAATTTAAACATTTTCTTTTTCTCTTCTCACTGTATTTCTGTTATAAAAGTATTTATTGAATTCTGTTAATAGCCTCTTCAAGGTGTCAGTTAAGTTTAACACCCAGACCACCACACAGAGTAAGCAATGTACATACCAAAAATCTTTGGTATATTTATTTTGTTGCAATATTTTTTTAAAAAAATAGTCTGATATGATATTTAGAATTTTCTTAAAAATAATTCACTGGAAATAGAGGTCATAGGTGAAACAAGATTGGCCCTGAAGGGGTAATTGTTGAAATTTGGTGATTGACATTTTCCATAATAAAAAGGCTAAAATAATTTTGGAATATTTTTTCCTGATGTTTGCCTTTGAGAATTTTTCCTTTTTCTATTAGAATGTTGACTTTGATTGTGTTCTACATTATCACTTCACCAGGAGTTTCCTTTGCTCTACTTCGTTATGATTTRCAGTATTACTTATTCTTAAGATTTATTATTTGTTTTCTTCCCAAACTTCATCTCATCTTCAATCTCTTCCATTGAGGTATTTAGCCTGTCTGTTAAGGTAAATAAAATCTTGTTTTATTAGCCTGGCACTGTGGCACACACCTGTAATCCCAGGGGCTTTTTTTTTTTTTTTTTTTTTTGGTACTGGAGATTGAACTCAGGGGCACTTGACCAATGAGCCACATCACCAGCCCTATTTTTTTAATATTATTTTTTAGTTATAGGTGGACACAATATCTTTATTTTATATTTATATGGTGCTGAGGATCGAACCCAGTGCCTCACACATGCTTGGGCAAGTGCTYTACCTCTGAGCCACAACCCAGGCTCCCCAGCCCTATTTTGTATTTATTTCGAGACAGGGTCTCACTGAGTTGCTCAGTGCCTTGCCATTGCTGAGGATGGCTTTGATTTTGCGATTATCCTGACTCAGGCTCCCGAGCCACTGGGATTACAGGTGTGCACCACTGTRYCTGGCTGTTTCTCAAAATTTTAACAGGGAGCCTATTATAGCATAGATTCCTGGGCCATTATCAATCCCAGAGTCTCTGATTTAGTAAGTGGGATCCATGAATTTGCATGTCTAACAAGCTCAAATTGCTGCTGCTGCTGCTGGTAGTCTGCAGACCATACTCTTAGTAGCATCAAAAACATGAAAGATACTAGAGTTCTACCAGAATTGGTAGTATGGGTGGGGGACTGATATTCCTACTCCCTTGCTTTCATTGCATAATTTTGTTTCTCATTATACTTAGAAGATAGAAGAATAGGTTATTGTTCCTTATACCTGACACTTCTTTAACTTACTATTAGCTTCTCTTATTTAATCCTTGCCACTTTTCTTCCTACCTCAGTGGATAACATGTTCTTCCCATTTAAGGCCAGTTTCTCTGATATGCTTGTGTCTTTTATTTTTTTCCACATTGAAGACCTTCATTTTTTCTACTCTCTCTAGACTATCCCCAACAATTGTGTCTCTTCTGATTCTTTCTTCTCATGCTAAACACATGTTCATATCCCTTCTATCTTTGAAAGGAAATGCTTTCCTTTTTTTAATTTTAATTTTTAGTTGTAAATGGACACAATACCTTTGTTTATTTAKTTTCTTTTTTTTTTCTTATGTGGTGCTGGGGATTGAACCCAGYGCCTCATGCATGTTAGGYAAGTGCTSTACCACAACCCCACAACCCCAGCCCAGAAAATGCTTTCTTAATCTCATAAAACCTCTAAGTGTTATTGACCTCCTTTACTTTATGGCCAGACATTTTTGGGGTGTGTTCATTAATTGCATCATTCACCTCAGTCAGGTTTCTATCATACATGCCAACTTGTCTCTGTTCACTAATTTCCTGTCATTTGACTATCATTTTAAAAACATTAACTATTCTCCCCTGGAAAATATTCCATTATACCATTCCTTTAAAAGGGTTTCTCTTTTACTTGTTAGGTTCCATGTAGTCTTCTTCTTTTGAGTTTTTCTTTTTCTGTTGATCTCTTAAATTTAGTGTTCCTCAGTCATGTAGTTCTAGTTACCACTTCCTCAATTTCAACCATTTCTCACAGGCTGATTATTCTCAAGTGATAAATCCAATGTTTTTCTGAATTCCAACTGCCCTGTTAGATATCTTGCCTGGGGACCTCAATTTTTTCTTATCTGTAATAGTACCATTTTCTCTTTCTGTTCTCCTGAAACCTCTTTATCCTCAGTATTTCACCTTGGTGAGTCAACAAATCATCTAGTCTCTAGAGACTTTTCTTTCCCTTATTCCCCTTATTYAGTCTTCAAGTCTTGTTGATTCTATAGTGTTAAATGTTCTCAAGTCTGGGCTGGGGTTGTAACTCAGTGGTAGAGCACTTGCCTAGCACATGTGAGGCACTGGGTTCGATCATCAGTACCATATAAAAATAAATAATAAAATAAAGATATTGTGTCCATCTCCAACTAAAAAATATTTWAAAAATTTTAAGTTCTCAAATCATCCTGTATTCCAACTAATTTATTAGTTCATGATGTTATTATTATGACACCTTTGACTTGGCATATATCATTTGTTCTTCAAGTCATAWTTGATCTAATTTCTTTCAAGGAGTCTGTTCTTGAAACAAACCAGTGTGGGTTTGTTACCCATTCTCTGAGCTCCTATAGCATTCTTTGAAAGTCTTTTCGTAAAACTTATTAAACAGTGTTGTTATAACCTTCTCTGATTCCCTAAGATTGTAAGCTGTGTACAGGCAGGGATCCTACCTATTTCTTCAGAGTATCCCTAAAGTTAATAATTATGGTGAGAATAGAAATTTACATGTTTCTTGGATGAGTGATTGATTCATAAGAACAGTACACTGTGAAGATGTCATGGACAAAATCATTCCTATCTTTTTTTTTTTTTTTTTAAATGGCATGTAGGAAGTTGGTGATGAATTGAAGAAATTTTTTAGATTAGGAATATTTCCAATAAAACATGAAATAACATTTTAGACGGTATTTCTAGTGCCATGAAAACTTTATGGTATATAACAATTTATAGTTTTTAATGAAGTGTCATTTTAAATTTGTAGTCTTTAGACAGTTTTACATCAAACAATGGACCATTTCAGTATTACTTGGGTAGTGATTGCAATCAGCCCTTGGAAAATTCTGGTTTTCCTGAAGATGTCCAAGTATCTCCTGGAAGTGGCAACATTGGGAATATGCAGGTGGTAACAGTTGAAGGAAAAGGTGAAGTAAAGCATGGAGGAGAAGATGGCAGAAGTAACAGTGGAGCACCACACCGTGAGAAGCGAGGCGGAGAAAATGAGGAATTCTCTAATGTCAGAAGAGGGAGAGGTGTGTATTCTCTTTTCTTTTTCTTCACTATAAACTAATTGGTAAAATGGGAAAGTTCTAAACAAAAGAAGCATTAGTATGTTCAGTATGCAAAGGTTATCGTAAAGCTGAAAGTTAATAACATCTTTAGTTTTTCTTTGTCTAGTTTTTCCCTTTGACTCTGGGCATAATGTGTCATCGCTGAAAGCATCAGAGAAAACATTTCTGTTTCTAAAATTTTAATGAAATTTTTTTGTAACCAAATTTATGTTCTATTTCCCCCTGAACAATCACTTTTCCAGCTGTGCTGATGCTTCTTCCCCAGGTAGAAATCTGAGTTCTTTATCTTTTCCACATTTCTCCACTTAGGACAAAAGAGATCATTTAAAGCTGACAAGTTAAATAACAGGTATGAAAGAACATTTAACAATGCAAAGATAAATCTTTAGAATAGTGATGTCATCAGGTAACAGAATAGAGTTGAATGGAGAAGAAAAATAAATATGCTCATTATATTGTTTCTGGTAAGGGCTGGGGTTGTGGCTGAGTGGTAGAGCGCTCACCTAGCATGTGTGAGGCCCTGGGTTTGATTCTCAGCACCACATAAAGATAAATACCATCTACCCCTAAAAAATATTTTAAAAAATTGTTCTGGTAAGAAATAAATAGATGTTGTGAAAAAAGAACTAAAGATATTATAGAAACTTATGGTTTAGGACTAGGATTGTAGGTCAATGGTAAACATGTACTTTGTATGCATGAGGTCTTGTGTTTAATCCTTGCCACAAAAAAAAAAAATGGAAAAGAAAATAAATAATAGTTTTAAAATAACCACTTGAACAAAATACAAATGCTCATTAATTTACAGTGGAGCTACGTCCCACTAAGCCCATTGTGAAAACATAACTTAATACTTTTAACTTATTGAGCAGTGTAGCTTTGCCCAGCTTGCAGTGTACTCAGAACACTTACATTAGCCTATAGATGGGCAAAATCATCTAATGTAAAGCCTACTTTATAAAAAAAGCATTGATTATCTCATGTACTTCATTGGATCCGATACTGAAAGTGAAAAACAAGTGACTTTATGGGTACATTTTTACACCATCATGATGTTGAAAAATCATAAGTAGAATCTATGCATTCAGTAGAAACCTTCAAATTTAGAATTTTTATCTTTTCCTAGGCTAGCACTATGTGGTAAAGTACTTTTTAAAGATGCTGAGCAACAGTTGCAAGCCTTAACCCCCAGTCATTCATGCAGTCAAGAAGATAAATAATGGATCCTCTGTGCTGTGCTGCTAAGCTATGATGTTTGGTAGATTAGACATATTAAATGCATTTTCAACTTACAAGACTTTCAAATTATAAAAATTTTAACTTACAAGACTTTCAACTTACAATGGGTTTATTGAGATATAACCCTAATATAAGTGAAGGAGTACTTATACAAACCTTCCTAATTTATCAGAAAAAAAAATGGCACACATTTTTTTAAAAAGTAACAAAAGWAAATTACATAGTAAAATAATTTTTAACGTGCCCCCCAACAATGTGTGATAAAAAAGATCTTAGAGCAAATTTATTTGAAATAGCAATAAAAGTAAACAGGCTAAAAGTTAGGGATATAGCTCAGTGCTAGTGTGCTTGCCCTAGTATGCTTGTGAGGCCCTGAGTTTAATCCTCAACTCTGCAAAATGTAAAGTAAACAGGCTGTACTCACCTGTTTAAAGTAGGTATTCCTTGGTTGGCAAAGAAAACATAACTTTAATGTTATAGTCTACAAGAGGTAGACTATTCTTTTTTATTTTTAGTTGGACACAATATCTTTATTTTTATGTGGTGCTGAGGATCAAACCCAGTGCCTTACACGTGTGAGGTGAGTGCTCTACCACTGACCTACAGCCCCAGCCCAAGAGRTAGACTATTCTAAAAAGTAGAAAATAAAAGGATATTGCAATGGTATCTCATGAATGCAAATTTAAAGGCAAGGTTTTAAATTTTGATATCAGGGAAGATTATTGTCAGGCCAAAAAGCATCAAGACAAAGAAGGCCAAAATGGGTGTGGTAGTACATGGCTGCRGTCCCAGCCATACAGGAGGTTGAGGCAGGAGAATCACTTGAGTCCAGAAGTTTGAGGCCAGGCTGGACAACAGAAAGACCCSGTCTCAAAAACTTGCACAAGAATAAAGACATCCTTTTATGATGTTTAAGTGTGATATAAAGAGGTAGAATTATGTACTTATTTATTTACTTACTTATTTGTAGCGGGGATTAAACCCATCGTGGCTTTATCACTGAGCTATATGCCCAGCCCTTTTTCTTTTTTATTTTGAGG